GTAAATTTAGACTAAGCGACGTTCCTCTTTTCTTTGGTAGCTGTCGTCTGAAAGATAAAAATAACATTGTCCTGAATATGTGAATTTGAGTAAAAAGAGATTTAAACCAACATTTGCAACAATCCTAGAAAAATTGGCGATAAATTAAAAGAAAAAAAATCGTTTTCAAAGTGATCGCTCGTTTTCTCAGTCTTTTCTTCTTTTCTTTTCGAAAAAAATCTCTCATCGTTCCCATTTTTTCGAAATAATCAATTACTTTGACATGTCTTTTGCGCTTTTTGATCGCTTTTGCGCTTTTTGCGGAAAAAGTTTCCTTCTCACACGATGAGAAAGAAAAAAAGGCAAAAAAAAGCAAAAAAAGGCAAAAACCGAAAAAAATTTCTTGTGGAGGTAAATGTTTAGAGGCAAATCTCAAAATAGAAACGATTTTTGTGATTGGAAAGTGATTTTTTGTAATATTTCTGGTAATATTCTACTTTGTTAATGTTTTACTGACTTCTTTACTGTTTTACTGACTTAGAAATTGAGTAAGTAAACCAAGAAAATGATTAGATTGTGCTAGAGGATTACCATTAAACCATTCGAATGATTAGATTGTGCTGGAGGATTACCATTAACCCATTCGAAACTTCTGCAACTTCTGAAGCTCCTTTAAAGCTCCTTTATAGTTCCTTTATCGTTCCTTTATAGTTCCTATTTAGTTCCTTTAAAGCTCCTTTATCGTTCCTTTATCGTTCCTTTATAGTTCCTATTTAGTTCTTTTAAAGCTCCTTTATAGTTCCTATTTAGTTCCTTTAAAACTCCTTTAAAACTCCTTTAAAGCTCCTTGAAAGCTCCTTTAAAGCTCCTTTAAAACTCCTTTAAAGCTCTTTTAAAGCTTCTTTAACGCTCCTTTAAAGCTCCTTTAAAGCTCCTTTAACCCATTCGAAACTTCTGCAGCGATTATTCGCTGCAGCAAAAACTCAGGAACGGACCGCTGCAGCGATTATTCGCTGCAGCGCTAATTGAGCTATTTTCATTCAATTAATTGGTTTTTTTTTGCTGTTTTTCAGCATTACATGTATTAGGTGTGTGAAAAAATAATCCACGTTTTTTATTTTTATTTTGCTTAAATAAATATATCTAAACAATTTTTAATTTTTTGTGAACGATATATATGTTGTGTCCGATTTAGATTTTCGTCCAATTTAGACTCAATCGCTCAATTCAGTCGCTTTTCATATTCAAGAAACGTATCGATGCTTTAGATCTAGTGGCTCTTTGCCGTAAGTAATTGGCTTATTGATTTCAGTATGTATTGTATGATTAAGTATCACTGTGCATTTCTCTATGATTTCTTTCACTTTATCGTTTGAATAAAGTATTATTATTAATCTAAAGCAGACGTCCGATTTAGATTTTGAGTCTAAATCGGACGTCTGATTTAGACTCAGTTGTTGTTTTATGTTTTACAGAAGTTTTCAGAATTTTTTTATCGGTTGTGAATTGCAAACAAAACTGGTCAAATTCCGACAAAGGAGATCTACAACTTGATGGTGGATTGCATCAAAAAACATGGAAACCAAGAAGAGGTGAAAGCGACCGATGCAGTAAACCGTCACCACGAAGCAAATCTGTTGAAGAGATATATCGTATCTCTTCATAGTGGAGAATCAGTTCTATATCATGAAGGTGAACAAACAGCAAAGCGCAAAACAGAAGTGAAGCCACAAAAAAAGTCGTCTATCAAGAAGAACTTTATGAAATCCTTCAGCAAACACACCGAAACCTCGGTCATGCTGGCATTGGATTGATGTGGCAATATCTTAGGATTTACTACGGGATATCAAAGTTCGTTTTTGAAACATTGTATAAAAAATTGCAGTTGTTGCAGTCTAATTTAAGTTGGATTATGTATTGTTCAATTTTGTTGTGACGTCTGATTTAGATTGAGTCTAAATCGGACGAAAATCTAAATCGGACACAACATTTATATATCGTTTAAAAGCTTATTTTTTCTTCTTTCGAATGATATATTTATTTTGTTAAAAGGACGACAATAAACTACTTTCATTTTAGTTTGAAAATGGTATACACAAGTATCGTTATTCGGTCAAATTTGCTTATGAGTTCAAAAATGGGTTGAAAGCTGCGGAGGCTGCACGTCGAATTCGGAATGCGTTCGGCAAAGATGCCGTTATTGATGATACCGCTAGGTTTTGGTTCCGATTATTCTTTCCGACGAAAGGTGGTAATGAAAGCCTAGAAGATGAAGCACGTGGCGGTCGCCCTGGTCGACCTGTTCGGATGACCAAATAAGACGCTGTCTTCTCGAAAACCCTCGTTCAACCTCTTCAGAAATAGGCCTTACATTAAATTGTGATGGGTCAACCGTAAGGAAACGCTTGAATGCCATGAATTTTATCAAAAAGTTGGACAAATGGATACCGCATGAACGATAACGCGCGACCACATGTCTCTTTACAGACTCGACAAAAAATCCAGAGTGTTGGATGGGAGGTTTTACCACATCCACCTTATAGTCCAGACCTTTCTCCATCTGATTATCATTTATTTTTGTCTCTGTCTAACTTTTTGGCCAATAAATGGTTCAATAGCCAATAAATGGTTTCAAGAAGATGTCAAAACCGAGGTTGATCTTTTCTTCGCCTCTCAGGACCAAGATTTTTATTATCGTGGAATGTCTTTACATGTAGAACGTTGGCAAAAGGTTGTTCTTTCGAATGGTGATTACTTCGTTGAATAAAAATTATTTTAACGAAACTTATGGTCTATTTTATTTAACGAAACTTATGGTCTATTATATTTAAACGTTAAAAACGTGGATTACTTTTTCACACACCTAATATATTCTAATTGTAACAGACCTACAAATTAAGTGGGCAAAAAAGACGTGTCATATTTACCCGGAATCAATGCAGCCTCTGGTTTTGCAGCCTCTGGTTTTGCAGCCTCTGGTTTGTTCCATAATCCTCTGGTTTGAAATGTTCCATAATAGCTCTAACCTTATAAAGCCTGCATCCTGCAGATCCTGCAGGATCCAGTTCATTATCACAAAAACGCAGGTTTCGAAGAATAGATTCAAATTTTGCTCTTGACATAATGTGGGACATGTGGGAAAATCCTCCTAATCCAGGCCTGCTACTCCAGTAGTCAGTAGTCACGAATCCTCGGTAATTTGACGATTCCCATTTGAAGATACAGAGCCAGGAAGAGCTTGAAAGATTATGCATCGAAATCCTGCCAGTTTATTTTCCTTTTTCCATTAGATTCGCCTACTAACATATTGATTAATTTATCGTCGATAAAATAAGAATAATAATCGATAGGATCTTGAAAAGTACTGAAGTCTTCATTCGTTCTTCATTCGTTCTTCATCCAAATCGTTCTTCATCAAAAATAAATGGTGTAGGAGACTCTCTTAAACCTTTTCAACCATCTGGATAAACTGCTTCGGAGTCAAAAATGTCAAAAAAAGACTTGGTCCGCAGACGCAGACGCAGACGAAAAAAAGAAAAAACGCTGCGGTTTCGAATAGGTTAAATTTCGTGCTTGTTTACGCCATTTGTTTACACCATTTTACTCTATGCTTTCTCGTAAACGTAGCCTTTCTAGTGCACTGAATAACGTGGTTCACAAAAATTAATCTATGATCCTTATGAGTAAGGCTAAATGATGAATGATGAAGACTAAATGATGAATGATGACGTAATCCTTGCCTCTAAGTCTCGTCGATTTAAATATCATTGAAATCAATTGAAATGAAAGAAAATAAACAATGAAACAATGAAAGAAATAAACAACGAAACAAATAAACAAATAAACACATAAACAATGAATCAAAACTAAAAAACGAAACAAAAACAGATAACCGTAGAGGAAACTGAACTAGTGAAGCTTTAAGTACGAGTTCAGACTCCTAATCACTCAGCCTGCTCAAGCTTTGGCTACTGCTCAAGCTTTGGCTAATGCTCAAGCTTTGGCTAATGCTCAAGCTTTGGCTACTACTCAAGCTTTAGCTACTGCTCAAGCTTTGGCTACTGCTCAAGCTTTAGCTACTGCTCAAGCTTTGGTTACTGCTCAAGCTTTAGCTACCGCTCAAGCTTTAGCTACTGCTCAAGCGCTTGTGACCCCTTTAAAGCCCCTACAAGGCTTAGATCCATCAAAAATGTTTAATTTTAAGCTAAAAACTTTGAAACCTTGTATTTCACTGATTTCTAGCATTTAGCAACTAAAAACTTCAGAAAATTCTTATTTTGTGATGCTTCTTTTGCCTCCTGTAATTTTGAAGTAGATCTGAGAGCAGATCTGAGAGAATTATAGTTATAGCTTTCTCATGGGTAGGTAAAACAGGCAAAATAAAAAGTATGAAGGAGAAAAGACTGAAAGAATACGGTAGCTTTCCCAAAATGTAGAAAACTTGAGTTGTTGGACTTTGAATCAAATGAAAAGCAAAGCAGTCAAATACACTGATCAAAATAGAAAGGATAGACTGTTAAGAGTAGACTTAGGATGTTAAAGAGACTCTAACAGGGTTGGAAAGGGTTAAGGATAGACTCTAACAGGGTTAGAAAGTCTTAAGAATAGACTTAGCACGTTAAAGAGATTCGAACAGGGTTGGAAAGAGTTAAGAATAGACTTAGCAGGTCAAAGAGACTCTAGCAAGGTTGGAAAGTGTTAAGAATAGACTTAACACGTTAAAGAGACTCTAACAGGGTTGGAAAGGGTTAAGGATAGACTCTAACAGGGTTAGAAAGTCTTAAGAATAGACTTAGCACGTTAAAGAGATTCTAACAAGGTTAGCAAGCCTTAAGGATAACTTTGCACAAAAATTAACCCAAAAAAGAAACCGTATCGGGATGGAATTGATAGAAATGATTCTTTCTTTCCTTCTTTCTTTCCATCTTTCTTTCTTTCCATCTTTCTTTCCATCTTTCTTTCCATCTTTCTTTCTTTCATTCTTTCTTCCTTCCAATCTGCGCCTTTTTACAACTTGAGTGATGGAAAGAGTGGGTAATCTCTCAGGTCAACATCCATTCTCCACCCGATTTTTCTTTTCATCTTTACCCTTTTTCTCTTACTTAACTCTATTCAATAAAAGAAAAGTGAGAGTGAATTTTGGGAAAAATAAGAGTTAAAGGAAAACTTTATAGATCTGAGAGATCTTTGGGTACTTTTAATATCGTAATCTTATTGGCTCGAATACTGTAATGCCGAAGTACAATATTCTAGTCAAAGCACAGCATTCTAATCAAAGCACAGTATTCTAATCAAAGTACAATATTCTAATCAAAGCACAGTACTCTAACCAATTCTTATTAAGATTTTGATAGTAAATAGAACGAGGTTAAGACTAAAGTGGGCAAAAGTAAGCGATTCGATGAGTTTTCTCGATAATTTCGTCGTTTCCCCGACTTTTCTCACTGAAACTGAGTCTAATTAACGATAATAGATGGAAATGTATCGAGAAAACTCATCGAATCGCTAAGTGTAACTAAAATTGAACTTTGAAGTTGATGGATAGCCTTAGCACCTTGTTAGTGAAGGTATTCTAATAATTTAGAGAAATTCTAATAATTATCCCATCATCAGGGAACTCCACTAGACAATCTAGATCTCTATAAGTCTACAGCCATTTCAGTCTACAGCCACTTCAGTCTACAGCCTGTATAAAGCCATTTCAAAAAAGCATTTACCGTGAAACCGTGTGCTTTCCACTTCTGACAATGAGTATCTTCTGACAATCTGACAATCGTAGACTATTTCTCTAAAGCTTCGTTAACTCTCACTAGTTGTTTCGCATGTGATCACGTTGCTTCTCGAAAAATCCCTGCATTTCGTTTCTGCGGCAATCCCGGAACTCTTCATGTTCATCCAACGATCGATCCGACATCGCCTAAAAATAAAAATAAAATCTTGGATAGGCAAAAACAAGCAAAAAACACCTAATAAGTGAAAAACTCAAAAAAAAACTAAATGGTCAATCAGAGTTGGTAGGAAAGGCGCAAATAAGACGTGGCGCCGATAAGAAGTGGCGCCGATAAGACGTGGCGCCGATAAGAAGTGGCGCCGATAAGAAGTGGCGCCGATGAGACGTAGCGCAGATGGGACGTAGCGCAGATGGGACGTGGCGCAAATAATTCCGCGCTTTGCTAGCATCTCAATATAAAAGAAAACTCCGCCAAAAACTCAAAAAAACTAAATGGTCAATCAGAGTTGGTAGGAAAGTGTGTTGAAAGGCGCAAATAAGACGTGGCGCCGATAAGACGTAGCGCCGATGAGACGTAGTGCAGATGAGACGTAGCGCAGATGAGACGTGGCGCAAATAATTCGGCGCTTTTGCTAGCATCTCAATATAAAAGAAAACTCCGCCAATTGTCCCTTCCATTTTCCACACTTTTCTTTAACTCGACCTATTCACTTAACCCGTTCACTTAACCCGTTCACTTAACCCGTTCACTTAACCCGTTCACTTAACCCGTTCACTTAACCCGTTCACTTAACCCGTTCACTTAACCCGTTCACTTAACCCGTTCACTTAACCCGTTCACTTAACCCGTTCACTTAACCCGTTCACTTAACCCGTTCACTTAACCCGTTCACTTAACCCGTTCACTTAACCCGTTCACTTAACCCGTTCACTTAACCCGTTCACTTAACCCGTTCACTTAACCCGTTCACTTAACCCGTTCACTTAACCCGTTCACTATGGGTCATCAAAATGATGCGTTTTTTACGGTTTTTCTTCTAAATTTGTTTATTTTCCAGGTATTAGCAAAAAACTGTTAAATCTTCACAAAGCCGATGTCTCACAAACGCAAATGTTCCCCGAATTTCTTGCCAGCCTGAAGAAGTGAGGCAGGTTTTAGAATTTTTGCATTAATTATTGTTAACAGTGTAACAAGTAGCGTTTTAAGCAAATTTTTCCTTGTTTAAGCTGTTTGGCCTTGCAAAAATGGAAAAAAAACTTGAAAATTAGCCATATCTTTTAAGGTTTTTGCATGAATTTTTTTAAAAAACGTCACAAATATCGGTTTTGAGCCATTTGTTAGTTTATAAGCGTTAATTTATTAGTTTATAAGCGTTTGTTAGTTGATAAGCGTTAGTTTATAAGCGGTTATAAGCAATTTGTTAGTTATAAGCAATTTGTTAGTTTTTTTTGAGCTGTTTGGCTTTGAAATCTGGAAAAATAGACGGATTATAAGAAAATTTTTCAACTTAATTAGTTTGAAATGGCTTTTTTGATGAAATTTGTTAACTTTACGTGTAATAGAAGAAAAAAAATTGGATTTCTTTTATAAGATTTTTAGTGACAGGCCAAGATAATAATTAAAGTCTAGCTATTTCTTTGCTTAGCTTTGCTTTGCTTTGTTTTGCTTTGCTTTGCTTGTCTTTGCTTTGTTTTGCTTTGCTTTGTTTTGCTTTGCTTTGCTTTGCTTTGCTTTGCTTGTCTTTGCTTTGTTTTGCTTTGCTTTGCTTGTCTTTGCATTGCTTTGCATTGCTTTGCTTTGCTTTGCTTGTCTTTGCTTTGTTTTGCTTTGTTTTGCTTTTTGCTTTGCCTTTGCTTTGGCTGTCTTTGCTTTGTCTTTGCTTTGCTTGTCTTTGCATTGCTTTGCATTGCTTTGCTTCTACTGTCTTTTCTTTGTCTTTGGCTTGTCTTTGCTTTTTGCTTGTCTTTGCTTTGTTTTGCTTTTCTTTGCTTTGCTTTGCATTGCTTTGCTTGTCTTTGCATTGCTTTGCATTGCTTTGCTTTGCATTGCTTTGCATTGCTTTGCTTCTCTTAGCTTCTCTTAGCTTTGCTTTGTTTTGCTTTGTTTTGCTTTGCTTTACTTTGCATTGCTTTGCTTTGCTTCTCTTAGCTTTGCTTTTCTTCTCCTAGCTTTGCTTTGCTTTGTTTTGCTTTGCTTTGCTTTACTTTGCTTTGCATTGCTTTTCTTCTCTTAGCTTTGCTTTGCTTCTCTTAGCTTTGCTTTGCTTCTCTTAGCTTTGCTTTGTTTTGCTTTGCTTTGCTTTGCATTGCTTTGCTTTGCTTCTCTTAGCTTTGCTAGCTATTTCTAAGCTCATCTATAACGTTAAATTTCTAAATCACTGTTACAAAAATCTTTTTTCTTTTAGAAACGACAGCTACAAAGTGGTGGTGGAGAAGCTCGTCTCGTGGCTCGTGTCTCATTCAACGAAATCCCGAAGCTCTCAAGGAAAAGGTTTGTGGAGTTTTGTGTTTACTATAAGTTATCAAATCTAGAGTAATTCCTTGGCAAAAGTGCCGTCTATTCTAACTGCTTTTCACAGAGAATTGTTCAAGTTTACTTTGCGACTTCTAGAATCAACCAGTTGATGTTGATTAGTTATCAATTAGTTGATGATTTTTGACTAAATTGTCGAAAATTAACTTGAAAACTTTAGGATCAAGGCTTTTTATCAATTTTTGGTCATTAGTTGCTAGAACACAGGTCAAGATTATCAAGATATCAAGATTTTACTAACTTTTTCCAGAAGCCAGTCGTTCTTGGATATCGATCGATGTGATTTGATGATGGATCGATGTGATTTGATGGTGGATCGATGCTTGTTCGTGCAGGTGGACCGATGCTTGTTCGTGCAGGTGGATCGATGCTTGTTCGTGCCGATGGACGGTGAGTTTTTGTAAAATTTAAATAAAAACTAACAGAAATTTCCCTCTATGCTTACCTTACCCCATTTCTTTAGCAAATGATGGAGCAAATTCTTTGATGAAGCAAATTCTCAAGAAGAAGAACAAAGAAAGCATGGAGAGTACGAGGAAAAAGGTAGAGATTTGGGGGAATGTAATCTAGAGTTTCTTTTAGGGAAAGCAGAAAGCGGATGATGCGTCAAATGAGCGAGGATTGACGAGGAAAGGACGGGAAAATCGAGGAATTGGTGGTGGAGGAGGATTCGATGATTTGGTCGGTGTTGAGAGATAGGGCTTTTGCAGCTTTTCCCCCAAGAAACTAGTGTCCAATTTTTGGTCAATTGGATTCGCCAAAAATTACTATGTCAATTTGTTGAGGATAAAGCAGAATAGGATAAAGCAGTTTTCGATCAAAAGTACTTTGAGTCTAAATTGGGTACTATCCGGTTTATCCGCAAATTTGAAAGATCTAACTGATTCAAGTCAGTGAGAACTGTTTTTTATAGTTATGTATAGTACCTTACCCCTTTTCTTTAGCAAAATTTTGATATTAGATGACGAATTTGGATATTGGAAGTAAATCTGATATTGGATGACGTGGAGATGTTAATGTTAATCGAATAGTTCTTCCAAAATATTCAGCCCATGTTTAGGCCCCAGAATGTAGGATAGTTTCTTGGAATTTTGTATAAGATAAAGCAATACAAGATCTGAATTCTTGTAAACTTCACTTAAATCTTGTAAACTTCATTTAAATCTTGTAAACTTCATTTAAATCTTGTAAACTTCATTTAAATCTTGCAAACTTCATTTAAATCTTGTAAACTTCATTTAAATCTTGCAAACTTCATTTAAATCTTGCAAACTTCATTTAAATCTTGTAAACCTCATTTAAATCTTGTAAACTTCACTTAAATCTTGTAAACTTCACTTAAATCTTGTAAACTTCATTTAAATCTTGTAAACTTCACTTAAATCTTGTAAACTTCATTTAAATCTTGCAAACTTCATTTAAATCTTGCAAACTTCATTTAAATCTTGTAAACTTAACTTTAAGTTTCAAATTAAAGTCATCTAACTGATCTATTTTATACTTTTTAGCCTGTTAAAGTCGGATGTTTGCCGAATTGAGCCCGAATTGTTTGCCGAAACCCGTTTGAGGCGTTGTCGAACGCGATTGACGCCGTCACGAAGTACATCGAAACAGAAACACAGCCGAATATCAGAAAGGTATGTGAATTACTGTTTTAGTATCATTTTAGTTTTAGTATTCTTGTTAATCAATACATTTTCCCGTTTAGTTTTCGGTGGCGTATCGAGAGATCGCGAAAACGAAAAGGGAATATCATGTTCGTTTGGGTTTTTAAAAGTTTTGTTTGAAAACTTGAAAACTCGAAACAACTAGCGAGAGTTAACGAAGCTTTAAAGAAATTGGGGTCCGTCAAGAGTTCGCTTTCTGCACGATAATCCTAAACTCCACACTGCAAAAGCCACTCATAGAAAAATTGAGGAGGAGATTGGAAAATTTTGCCTCAGGCACCTTACTCCCTTGTCAGATTATTTATTATTTCGGATTTCGGGGATATGTACAGTTTGATAATCATGCTCAAGTCATAAATAAGCTTCACGCTTATTTTACTTCCAAGGAGCCGTTTGAATTCGACGATGTTATCCAGGATCTACGCAGAAGATGGGAAGAAGTCATTGATAAGAATGGAGAAGTACTACAGCACTCCTATCTTTGCTATAGTACTCCTATCTTTCCTACAGTACTCCTATCTTTCCTACAGTACTCCTATCTTTCCTACGGTACTCCTATCTTGGCTACAGTACTCCTCAGTGCTTGGAAATGAGTACGACAACTTTTAGCAAACATTTTAGAAGACAGAACCAACTAGAAGGAAGTCGAATTTTTAAAATTTCTGAATTCTTTGTTACTTTGCTATTTTTTGAACAAAGGCCTTTGATTTTACATGAAATTGGAAAGAAATTGAATCAGAAATCTAGCTTGTTGCTTTTTTGTTGCTCTCAGCGAAATTATCCGAGCAATTTCGATGGATTGGATGAAAAAAGAGAGGAAAAGACTTTGAAACTCTTTTTTTTTTGTCCTGGTTCCTATGTCAGCAATGTTTTCGAGACCCGGGGATGGGTGAATTTTTGCACTTTAGTGGCTCAGAGATCGGGCCGATTGATGGGGACGAAAAGAGGAGGGGCACGTGGACTTTTAGACCCCCTTTTCTCCCATTCTTTTCCATATTTCTCTCCTACTCTTTTATCTTTTTCTTGAAAAGAAATCTATTTTCTGTCGAAATCCCTATCTTTTTCAACTAATTTTTCATTGCTTTTTGTGGAATTTTGTGATGTCTGTTCACTTTTTTCCCTCTCTTTCCGTCTCTTTCCGTCTCTTTCCGTCTCTTTCCCCATTTTCTCTCATTCTCAGACAATTTCCGTTGCTTTCGACGAAATAGTATATCAAGAATCAGTCCCAGACAGAGTTTAGCTTGAAAATGATGAATGAAACTGTTTTTGAAATGGTTTGGCTTTAGAAAGTACAGTAATCTGGGTCAAAGTGTACTTTAGATCAGTAAGAGAATGTACTTTGAGTCTAAAAATGGCTAAAACATATCCTTTCTGGTGCAATGAACACAGAATAGTGTGCCAGAAAGGTGGTGGTGACGTTTGTGAACACGTTTACGCTTGTGGACAAACTCAATCCGTGTGTGGACAAATTTAGGTAATCAATCCGGCCTTTGAGGGCCCTTTGAGGCCTTTGAGGCCTTTGATAGCAAGTCTAGAGGCCGGATTGATTACCCAACTAATAGAACTTAGCAATCTTTGAGTTTTAAACCATTAACTACTAGTATTTACAAGTATAACTACTCCCATTTTTCTATTTCCAATCAATCCCCGATTTGATTAAATATTCAAAGTCTCCCCCGACTAAATTCATTCAATTCCTGACCGATCTCTTGCTCGTAAACAAGTCAAAAAGCGACCAGACACAAAAAAGTCTGCATGTACTTTTTGGTCAAACGTTGAACTGAGAAATGGGGATGTTTACGCCGAATGTCTGCGGAGAAACGGTTCCTTTAGGGAAAGGGAATGGAGGAGAGGCCATTATCGAGGTCAGACGGGTGCACTTTGGAAAAGAGGATTTAAAGTTAACTCTGATAGTTAGCGTTAGAGCTAATTAGACTAACTGAGTCTAGATCTGGCTAGCAAGCAAGGCTAATTAGACTAACTGAGTCTAGATCTGGCTAGCAAGTACAGGAATCTCGCTAACAAGTACGGTTCTTGGTAAAGAGCGAGAGCTGAGCTGTAGGCTATCTAGTGGGCTTGGTTAGACTTGACTGATTACGGTACGTCCATTACAGGATGCCTGGTCTGGCCTAGCTTGGCCAGAAGAGGCCAGGCCACACCAGACGAGGCCAGGTCAGGTCAGAGATCTATCTAAAAAGTGCTGAATTTCCCCTTTAATACCAATCGATCCCATAAAACTTTTTCACTCCGATCCCCCAAGCAAACCTATCCACAGAACGCCCGCGCAAACCTTGAGCGTCTTGTTGTTTTTGTGGAGGTCATGCGGGCCAAAAAGACCCCCGGATTTCCAGTTTTTGCGGGAAAATGCCCAGAAATGGATGGGAACGGTGCCAGATTTCAAACAAATCCCACAAATCCTTTTCAGAGTTTTCCCGGAAAGCTGGGATAATGGATTTGGATAAAGATATGAAGATCGACAACATGATGATAACGTGATGAAAATGTTTGAGCGTTTGATTTACAGGCACTAGACGTGGTTCAGGAGCTGTACTACCAGTTTCTAGACTACGTCTGGTCAAGGGCTCAGGCCAAGAATCTGAGTCTTGCCCTGGAGTCTCAAGAATCGAGCCTAAGCCTAAGCCTAATTAGCACAAACCCAAATAGACTTAGTGCTAGGCGCTAGCCGCTAACCTTCGCACTAAGTCCAACCAAACTGAGTCTTGTCCCGGAGTCTTGTCAAGACAACGAGTCTTGTCCTGGAGTCTTCCCAGGGCAACGAATTTTGGAGTTCAGGAGTTCTTGCTGCCCCTGCGGACCGAAATCCTTGGGATGAATCCAAAAATTCACAACGGCTCCCTTCAGCACCCTTTTACAGGCACTTGGGATCCCATTTCGACCGGCGGAGAACCCACCATTTTGGTCAAAATGAGCCGGAATTTGGTTTGCCAATTCTACAGCCGTGATTAGTTTTGGAAAGCGGTGGCCACATGGGGTAGACAACGGATTGGTTACCGGATGACCCAAAATGGACGCTTCCGATTGGACAAGTGAAAAGGGAACTATAGCCGATCTCACTTCAAAAATCGTCACTGGATTTATCAGCAAGATTCAGCACCTGCTCATCGCTCGAATCATTCAAAACGGATGCACAACTTGGCAGAGTTTATGTGAAAAACTGGTGTGAAACAACAATAAGGCGGCGTATATAAGGCGGCATATATAAGGCGTCGTATATAAGGCAGCGTATATAAGGCGGCGTATATAAGGCAGCGTATATAAGGCAGCGTATATAAGGCGGCGTATATAAGGCTGTCTATATAAGGCGGCATATAATGCTCCCCGAGTTCATCAGTGCGCAAGAATGGCCCCAATATTCGCCCGATTTGAATCCACTTGGCTTTTCCATGAGTCCTGAAGACAACGGCATATGCAAAGCCGCAAGTTTGGCATCTCTTTATCTTGTCCTGAAGAAAGTTAAGCTGAATTGGATGCACTACTGTACTTGAACGGCTTTAGCTCTTGTACGAGTTCTTGGACCACTGTGCTAGACTGTGCTTGGACCACTGTGCTAGACTGTGCTTGGACCACTGTGCTATAGTCCGACAAATCTTGTGCCTCCTCAAAAATCATTCATTCGATTTTCAGGTAACCATATCTTTTGAAAATTCTTTTGAAAATTCACTTTTGAAAAGTTCATTTTTGAATTTTCTCAGATTCTCTTAGATTTTCTCAGACTTTCTTAGATTTTCTCAGATTTCCTCACTTCAAATTTCATCCATCTGACCCACGACCCCTAAATAAGGGCTTACCAGGGATGAGGGCAAAAAAACGGACAAAAAAAATGTGTCTGCGTTCCAGGGTGTTTACGTGAATTCATCCCCGACCAAGCCGAGAAAAAGGGAAAAAGAAAAAAAGGGAAAAAGGGAAAAGAAGATAAATGGGAAAAGAAGAGAAATGGCAAAAGAGAAATGGGCGCAAAGAGAAATTTGTAGAGAAATGGAAATATTGGAGGGAAATTGGAGAGTGAGAGGGATCTCGGCGATCATAAACCACTCGGCATGTCACGGGGAAAAGGATGGAAAGGGAGAAGAGGGAAAAGCCCTGAAAAAGGCCCTCTTTCAATGGCGATGGCGGCTGCAAGGGTCCCCCCGAAACATATAGAAAACAACTATGGAAAATCGGGGCGCCCTTCTCTCTTTCCATTCTCCTTTTCCACTCCAAAATCCCTCGGAAAGACCAGCCGATCTTTGTCATAGCATTTTTCCAATTTCCAATTTTTCAGTACAAACTTGAGTCTCTTTTGATGATCGTATATTTTTGCTCTTTACCAGTAGAGCAGTAAGCCAGTAAGCTAGTAGAGCTAAATTGTGCACAGGCAATACTCGAGCTATTCAGCACTTGTAGACCCGAAAATTAGTCTAGTTCTAGTGCTGGGTCTACTAGTATATAAGGCAGCGTATATAAGCTGGGGTATAGAAGGCTGCGTATATAAGCTGGGGTATAGAAGGCTGCGTATATAAGCTGGGGTATAGAAGGTTGCGTATATAAGCTGGGATATCTAAGCTGGGGTATGGAAGGCGGCGTATATAGGCAGCGTATATAAGCTGGGGTATGGAAGGCGGCGTATATAAGGCAGCGTATATAAGCTGGGGTATGGAAGGCGGCGTATATAAGGCGGCGTATATAAGGCAGCGTATATAAGCTGGGGTATGGAAGGCTGCGTATATAAGATGGCTTATATAAAGCGGCGTATATAAAGCGGCGTATATAAGGCTGCGTATATAGGGCGGCGTATATAAGGCTGTCTACATAAGGCTGTCTATATAAGGCTGCGTATCTAGGGCAGCGTATATAAGGCGGCGTATATAAGGATGTCTACATAAGGCGGCGTATATAAGGCAGTCTATATAAAGCGGTGTATATAAGGCGGCTTATATAAGGCAGCGTATATAAGGCAGCGTATATAAGACGGCCTTTATAAGACGGGTTAGATAGGGCTATAGTATGCTACAGTATACTGACCCTAGAAACTACGGTACTATAGCTTCTTCTTTTCCAATCCATCTTGCTGTTTCATTTCCAAGTTTTGGACTTTTCCAACTTT